AATAGATTTGCAACCGCAAACGTGAAGCCGTCTTGCGGGGTGACGGCCAAAACAGGCCAGTGAAAATCATTTTCTTTTGAGTGCAGAAACAATTTTGTTTGCCCGAAGAAATTGATTTTGGGCCCGGGGGCGAAAACAATTGTTGGGCCCAAGCAAGGGCTGGGGAGCAAGAGATTTGATTTCTACACCTTTTGACGCTCCAAACATGTTCCCCTTCCGCGCCCTTCCGCTGTGCAAATTTCGTAGTCAACTTCCACCGGCCCTTCCGCAAGCTTCCGCGGCCTGCGGAAAACCTTCCGCGCGGATTGATTTCAGCGCTCCCTTACATAAATTGCTTTGAGCATTTTTGATCGCTGCTCAATTGACTAGTGAAACAAGGAAAGGGCAAGTCATAGTGATCTTCCCACGACCACTGTCATCTGGGCAGGAAGAACTCAAAAGAAACCAAACAGTGAAAACACAGAACCCAATTGACTAGTGAAACAAGGAAAGGGCAAGTCATAGTGATCTTCCCACGACCACTGTCATCTGGGCAGGAAGAACTCAAAAGAAACCAACCAGTGTAAACACAGAACCCAATTGACTAGTGAAACAAGGAAAGGGCAAGTCAAGTGACCTTCCCACGACCACTGTCATCTGGCAGGAAGAACTCAAAAAAACCAAACAGTGAAACCACAGAACTCAATTGACTAGTGAAAACCAAAAAGGGCAAGTCCATAGTACCTCCCACAACCACTGTCCATCTGGGCAGGAGAACTCAAAAAGAAACCAACCAAGTGTGAAAGCACAGAACCCAATTGACTAGAAAAAACAAGGAAAGGCATTCCATATGACATTCCCACGACCAGTGTCATCTGGGCAGGAAGAACTCAAAAGAAACCAACCAGTGAAAGCACAGAACCCAATTGACTAGTGAAACAAGGAAAGGGCAAGTCATAGTGACCTTCCCACGACCACTGTCATCTGGGCAGGAAGAACTCAAAAGACACCAACCAGTGAAACCACAGAACCCAATTGACTAGTGAAACAAGGAAAGGGCAAGTCATAGTGACCTTCCCACGACCACTGTCATCTGGGCAGGAGGAACTCAAAAGAAACCAAACCGTGAAAGCACAGAACCCACTTGACTAGTGAAAAAAGGAAAGGGCAAGTCATAGTGATCTTCCCACGACCAGTGTCATCTGGGCAGGAAGAACTCAAAAGAAACCAACCAGTGAAAGCACAGAACCCGAACGCGGCCAAGTACAAAGGGAAAGGGCCAAGTCTTTTTGCAACTACCACGACCCTACTGTCATCTGGCAGGAAGAAACTCAAAAGACACCAACCATGAAACCACAGAACCAAAAAAAAGGGACTAGTGAAACAAGGAAAGGCAAGTCATAGTGACCTTCCCCACGACCACTCCATCTGGGCGAAGAACTCAAAAAACCAACCAGTGAAAGCACAGAACCCAATTGACTAGTGAAACAAGGAAAGGGCAAGTCATATTGACCTTCCCACGACCACTGTCATCTGGGCAGGAAGAACTCAAAAGACACCAACCAGTGAAACCACAGAACCCAATTGACTAGTGAAACAAGGAAAGGGCAAGTCATAGTGACCTTCCCACGACCACTGTCATCTGGGCAGGAAGAACTCAAAAGACACCAACCAGTGAAACCACAGAACCCAATTGAGTAGTGAAACAAGGAAAGGGCAAGTCATAGTGATCTTCCCACGACCACTGTCATCTGGGCAGGAGGAACTCAAAAGAAACCAAACCGTGAAAGCACAGAACCCACTTGACTAGTGCAAAGCAAAACCAGGGGCCCATTGCCCAAGTCCAAACTTGCTGTTTGCCACTTGGTCCCGAAAAGTATCAAGTGGAGGAATTCAGGTCTGATCATCGCTCCTCCTCTCGTGCCGCTTGCACCTGCTGCACTGCGTTGCCGTAGGCGTAGATGAAGACTCCGGCAGTCATGATGACAAAGCCACCCACCTCGCAGCTGAACCAAGGAAGCGGAAAGGAACCCCAGGTGAATGAAGCAATATGCTTGAATGAGTCAATGAACCACTGGACGATTGACGGATGAGAACCAAACAATCGCTGCATGAGTAAATGTATGAATTCATATTGATGTTGGAACCGATGACTCCAATATCAATGAATCGGCGGATCAAATACAGATTGAATGGTTGAATCGGAAGAATATCCATAAGTGCAGTTTGGCAGGGTAAGAGTGCCTTTGTCTGGAGCAAACAAGCTGACAAAATCGAAAACATAGGCCACTAGATCAACCTGTAAAAAATGGTTTAAATCATGTGATATTGGTGAAACGGGTCTGTGTTATTAGTTTTTTTTGTTTTTTCCCCGTACTGCCTTGTGGGGCTGTTTTTTCAGGGAAGCCAAAGGCAAACACACACACACACACACAAACACACACACACACACACACACAAACACACAAACACACAAACAAACAAACACACACAAACCCACAAACACACAAACACACAAACACACAACCACACAAACACACAAACACACAAACACACAAACACACAAACACACAAACACACAAACACACAAACACACAAACACACAACCACACAACCACACAACCACACAACCACACAAGCACACAAGCACACAAGCACACAAGCACACAAGCACACAAACACACAAACACACAAACACACAAACACACAAACACACAAACACACAAACACACAAACACACAAACACACACACACACACACACTACACACCTACACACACACATACACACAAACACACACACAAACACACACACACACATACACACACAAACACACACACACAAACACACACAGTCACAAACACACAGTCGCACAAACACACACACACACACAGACAGACAGACAGACACAGACACACACACAGACACACAGACACACAGACACACAGACACACAGACACACAGACACACAGACACACAGACACACAAACACACAGACACACAAACACACAAACACACAAACACACAAACACACAAACACACAAACACACAAACACACAAACACACAAACACACAAACACACAAACACACAAACACACAAACCACAAACACACAAACACACAAACACACAAACACACAAACACACAAACACACAAACACACAAACACACAAACACACAACCACACAAACACACAAACACACAAACCCACAAACCCACAAACCCACAAACCCACAAACCCACAAACCCACAAACCCACAAACCCACAAACCCACAAACCCACAAACCCACAAACCCACAAACACACAAACCCACAAACACACAAACACACAAACACACAAACCCACAAACACACAAACACACAAACACACAAACACACAAACACACAAACACACAAACACACAAACACACAAACACACAAACACACAAACACACAAACACACAAACACACAAACACACAAACACACAAACACACAAACACACAAACACACAAACACACAAACACACAAACACACAAACACACAAACACACAAACACACAAACACGCAAACACGCAAACACGCAAACACGCAAACACGCAAACACGCAAACACGCAAACACGCAAACACGCAAACACACAAACACGCAAACACACAAACACACAAACACACAAACACACAAACACACAAACACACAAACACACAAGCACAACACGCAAACACACAAACACACAAACACACAAACACACAAACACACAAACACACAAACACACAAACACACAAACACACAAACACACAAACACACAAACACACAAACACACAAACACACAAACACACAAACACACAAACACACAAACACACGCAAACACGCAAACGCAAACACGCAAACACGCAAACACGCAAACACGCAAACACGCAAACACGCAAACACGCAAACACGCAAACACGCAAACACGCAAACACGCAAACACACAAACACGCAAACACGCAAACACGCAAGCACACAAACACACAAACACACAAACACACAAACACACAAACACACAAGCACACAAGCACACAAGCACACAAACACACAAACACACAAACACACACAGTTTGTGGATCCAAATCCCTTTGGCACATGCCCAAATTCTTTGAACCTCAATTCCAATGCCTGTGGGTTTGTCTCACAAAAGGAAGCGGACCATTAAAACTGGGCTTCACTTTCCTTTCGATGTCCCATCCCTTTGAGGGGCTTCCCGAACCTCGAAAAAAAGGAACCACCAAACAGTATGGTGCCGGGACCCATAGGTGTCTTTCTCCACACACAAAAGGTGCCCCCCCCCCCCCCCTTTTCCGGGCGAAAAATGAGGCCCAAGTGCTTGACAAACTATTGGACGGCAGCCAGTAGATTTCAATTTTCCAACCCTTGGTATGGTGGCCACAGACTTGTTGCTTTTGCACCCTACTAAAAATGAACAGATCCAACAAACACTTGTAAAACCTAGAACTTGCTGGTGCTCAGTAGGGAACGACCTTCCAGGTGTTGGTTGGGAATGAGCCATTTGGGATTCCCTTGCACGAAACCAAAACGGGGAGGATGTTCTATATGTTCTTTTTCTTGGGCTCATTCCAATTCATTCCCTGCCTCACTTCATGAGTGGACTGTTCAAAAGGCTGTCTGAACTTTTGACCAAAACGCTCATTGCAAAAAGCGGGCTAAAGTCCATGAGCTCCAGTGAACTGCGGAAATCACCTGTTTGGGTGTGGCTCAAAATTAAACAGGAGGGGTTACGCAGGTGTTGGTCCATGTTTCCACTTACCAGGGTTCCATTTTGGGCTCCGGTTTTTTGAGCCACAGCCATTTAATTATTTCAGGGGGTTCCCCGGAGTCCTCCGGAATGGAGCTGCCTAATGCTAACCCCGGATTAATAAAATGCCCGGTGGATTTGTTTTGGGACTTGTCCCCTTTTAGTGGGGATTCATCAAACTTTTGGAGTTGAACACCCCCCCTAGTACTGGGTTTCGGGTTTCTTCCTCCAAAAGCCCCACCTTCTCGACCTTCACCCGAAAAACCTCCAGCCCTCGCCGAACCCTCCAGCCCTCGCCGCGCCGCCCGGCCGAACCGGCGCCTGGATCCAGGAGGCCGTGCCCTGCCAGGGCTCCCCCACCGGGCCGTAGCCGAAGCCCCGCCGGCCCAGGCCGTAGAAGAGGGCCATGTCGATGAGCCAAACGAAGAGCGCCTGGAGGTTCCTGGGGCTTGAAGTCTGAACCATTTGCTTAAGGCCTCAGGAGATGTTGTTGTTTTTTAAATGTCCAGTAATGTTCTTTTGTTTTTTTTAAGACCAACAAGGGGAAACAAACATAACAAATATTCTTAAGCAAGTGGAGGAATTGGTGGACACCTCTTTTTGGGGTGGGTGTGAACTGGAAAATGGGAAACCGCCAAGTTTGAGGGTCACCTACTTTGAGTTGACATGTGGGTGTGGCTCAAACTTAAAGTGCTGGGTTATGCAGGTGTTGGTCTTTGTTTCCCCAAAAGGAGCCCAAGAATGGGTACCGCTTTTTTGAGCCACAGCCAGGTGTTGAATTGGTGGACACTTTGGGCTGGGATTGACATGGAAACTGGAAAACTGCCAAGTTTGAGGGTCCCCTATTTTAAGACACACCCACATACAGGGCGGTTTTTAAATCCAAGAACCCGTGCAAAGCAAACAACAACCGGAGACATACTGGCCAGCGGTTTTCGGAAGAAAAAAAGGTTGCAGGTGGTGTCCGCTTGGAGGGCGCTTGGGCACTCTGTGAGCATTGGTCAAACCCTGGCACCGCCGTAGACCCACGGAGTTTGCGAAATCAACTGGATTTCAGCCTGGGTCAAACGGACCACCGGGACCAATTCTCCACTAGGTCCATGAAAGTGACAACCTCGAAATTGCCCAAGCGGTGGTTAGGGAAACTCAGGCCCAAAAGGTTCCTCAACATCTTCGCAAGACTCAAAAAAGACGGGACCCCTTTTCGGTTGACCCTTTTCGGTTGGACCCCCCCGCTCAGTGCAACAACAAGGGGGGGGCCCAGTCGAAAGCCATTGCCGGGCCTGGACACCGCTCGGAAGACCGAGCCCAAGTGCTTCATCACCTGGAAAAAAAAAAAAAACCTGCGCCCCTCCGCTTTACATCCACTTCACATCCGCTTGAAAAGGGGACACTCGGAGTAAACGAAAAAAAGGGTCTGGCCAAACTCCGACCATTCCGTATCCCTGTTGGAACACCCGACTTTGAGGGGAGGGCGGAAAGCAGGAGCGAGCACCAGAAGCCCGCCCTGCCTGATCACTACTGTACCTCAAAACCACGCGTTCGGCTCAAAAAAGCGCGTTTTCCGGTCGGTTGGAACCAGGAAGGGCACTTGATGCACACTCGACTTGGCCCGCAACTGGCAGATTGGCGAACCCAAAACCCATTCAGCAGCGTCATAGCGGCAGCGTATCCAGACAATTCCTGCTGGGCTCCGGTAGAAAGCTCAGTATTGACGACCCAACTTGATCAGGCAAGTCACCATCATTCCAAGGGCATTCAAGCCCCAAAGGCCCAGCAAGTACAGGAACAGAACTAGATCAAGTGTGGTGTTGCGCTGGATCATCGCCAGAGAGTCGCTGGTGTTCTCAAAGACGCCTCGTTCCGAACAGGCTGTGCCTCTGACCCCTTTCTTGCGGGATGCCAGGAACCCCTCATTCAGAGGATGCTTCAGGTTTAGGGGACCCTGCATGTATGTGTGCACACAGCGTGTATGTTTGTATGTGTGTAACACCATGCTATGTGAGTGTTGTTCTGTAGTCATTTCAAGTGCATGCGTTTCACGAAAAAGGTGCATCTAGGCATCTGTGGATAGATGCAGCAAATTGATCAACACATGAATGCATGCATCATGAACGGATGGATGAATCAATGGATGCACGTACGGCACCAACGCACAACCACAGACACAAGCGCTAACACACACCCACACAGCCACACATCCAGACACCCTCGCACACAATGCCTCTGCCACATTCACACAGGCACGCACACACATAGACACAAGCACCACACACACAAAAGCAAACGCAGTCACAGACAGACATACACGACACTCACAGGCACAAACACCGACACACACACACACACACACACACACAGAGACACAACAAAGACACACACACACACACACAGCCGCACAGACACACACAGAGACGCAACAAAGACACGCACGCGCACACAGACACACGCACACACAAAAAAAACACACACACAGACACAGACACAGACACAACCGCAGACACGAACCCACATCTCACATGTCTCCCTCTCTCTTTGCATATATGGATGCTAGCTTATATACACGTACACACGCACACATGCGGACGCTCACACCCACCCACCCACCCACCCACCCACCCACCCACCCACCCACCCACCCACCCACCCACCCACCCACCCACCCACCCACCCACCCACCCACCCACCCCCACCACCCACCCACCCACCCACCCACCACACCCACCCACGCACGCACGCACGCACGCACGCACGCACGCACGCACGCACGCACGCACGCACGCACGCACGCACGCACACACACACACACACACGCGCACCCATACGCGTACAAACGCACACGCACGCACGCACACATGCACACATGCACACATAACACGCCTGCTCACGTGCATATATGTAGAGACTGGGGGCTTGTGGTAGTGCACTTTTTTGTGACTCTGAGGTTTGATATCTTGAGAAAGTTGTACGATTGCCTTGCTGAAGAGTGCTTGTGACTGCGATGTCTGAAATCAGTCAACCAACGGGGTCCTTTACTAACATGCGGCCAATTGCTGCTGCTCATTCAAGCCAGAGCAGCTGCAATTATCTTAGCATCTTTCTTTCAGTCCTGTTTGGCATTAGAGTTGAAAAAGAACTCAAATTGATTCCAGTATGGAAGACAAGCTTGTTGTTTCTGCTAATTTGCCTGGCCCTTAAAGGGAGTGCACAACCAGAAGCGCAAGGACAATGCGATTTCAGCTGTAGTGGCTTGCAAGCTTGAAATTCCCACGCTTGACGTTTAAATCATACTTTAATTAGAATAACAGTGATTCGTACATCGAATTAGAACTAACATAGGGCTTCCTTCCAAGCAGGAATTAAAATGGGAATCATATAGACACTAATAAGGAGAAACAAGCTTGGTGTTTCTTCCAAGGTTCAAGCCCCTCAAAAGGAGTGAAAAACCAGCAAAACCCATAGGAAATGCACATTGTTCCAATTGTTTTTTCAAGTTTTAGATTGCAAGGCTTTTAATTTAAATGGGAATTCGGATAGAGTTCGCTTCGAATTGTCTTTTTAATTTAGATGCTGAATAATACTTCCCTTCCAAATAAGATTTCAATTGTAGTTTAATTACAACTCGTATTCTAATTCAGATGCTAAATCAGATTTTGTATTTGCACACATGAGTTCGATTAGACTTTAATTGGAATTCATATTTTGAATTCGAATTTAAACAGACAGTCCTTCCAAGTCTAAAATAGGAACTCATACTGTTTGAGAAATCACAAACAGATAGAAGCTGGTAAGGAATACAAGCTGGTTGTTTCTTCTGAGTAACTCAATTACATCTTTTGAATCGCATGCTAAATAGGAACTTGTTTCCAAGTATCTAGAATGTTGATTAGAATTGAATATAATTTAAATAGAATCTGGTAAGGATACACAAGCTGGTTGTTTCTTCTAGGTAGTTTAAATGAACTTCTTACACTTCATTGGATGCTTAAAAGAAACTAATCAGAGTTCGTATTGTGACATTATTTGACTTGGGAATTCCTTTGCAAGTAGGACTTGAAGTGGAATTCAACTGGATGCTACATGGAATCTAGTAAGGAAACACAAGAAAGTCGGTAATTTCTTGCAATTTGCCTCGAAAACAAACAACAAACCCGGGAACAGATGTAGACCCCTCATAGACACAGAAAACCAAAACAACCTCGAGAAAATCGTTCAACATGGGTTGTGCTCCAAAGAGTTTCTAAACCATGGTTTGTTTGTTTTTGTTTGGTTTTCTCGTGTTGTTGTTTTTGTTTTTTTGTTTCCACGATTTTTGTTTTGGGATTTCCTCGTGTTTTTTGTTTTTTTGTCCTTGTTTTCTCAAGATATTTCCTCTGTTCCTGTGAGATCAAGTGCAACTGACATGGCTGGTGCATGAGAAGACTGCAAGCCTCAAAACGCGCAAAAAGCGCACAGCCTCCCCCCGACACATCTACCTTTTCCATATCATTCCCGCCTGTGCTCTGTTTCATCTGCCATCTAACGCACATGTTTATGGAAAGATTTGTCCCACCTGCAGGCTGCATATGATCTCATTCCTGGCAGCTTTGTGTCCCATCTGCAAACTCAAATCAACTTCGTTGAATATGAAAAATAACCGTCTGATGAGAATTCATCGCTCTGAACATTTATTCAAGTTCTATCTTGAAGTGAATCGAAATCCTACTGGAAAGGGAACACATACCTAAGTTCTAAATGAAAATTGAATTTCTGACTAACCTTTCCCTATTAAAATTTGCAACAGACAGGATATAAACATGAACGCCACGTTTGGAAAGGCTTTCCTCTCTCAATGTTCTTTGTAAACAAAAACATCTAGCTGACTGTTTCGTTAAATTATGTTCAACATACATTTTTCAGCATCCTATTTGGTACAAGGAGGTCTTCTAAGGAGCTCTCTTCAGGAGCTTTAGGAGGCCTTATAAGGATTCTTACGAGCAGCTTTAGAAGGATTTGCACAAGGACAAGGAGCCTTTCTTTCACATGGACTTCATAAGAATATTTGTATCCAGCCGTACTAGGAGCTTCGTATGGAGCTTGGAGCCTTTTACGGAGCTTTGCAATGAGCCTTGCTTGGCAAGGGGCATTCCAAGGAGACTTGTAAGATGATTGATGAGCAGCCTTATAAGGAGCCTTGTAAGGAGCTTTACAAGGAGCCGTATGCGGCTTGAGTCAACAAACAAATAAAGCCAGGTATTGAATTCTGCTCTGAAATCAAAGTTCTAATCTAACCCTGTCCTTGTTGAGTTTCATTTAGATTCTATTGTCTGTTTACTTAAACCTCTATTTGCTAATAAATTCCTTTGTTCAAGCGCTGGTCAAAACGTTCAGCAAAACATGCCAATGCATATCAAAGCAAGGCGTAGGCATACATATACATGGTCACGCATTTGAGAGGGATAATGCAAACAAGAAAAATGAGTGGAAATAAAACAACATGTAACGAGAGAACAACCCGCGTAAAAATAATTTCTGGGGAAGAATCTTTGGCTTCAGTGTCAAGCTTTACCTTTTTTCTTCGAGTGTCTTTGTTTTTGAGCTTGTCCTTGGCGTTTTTGGGCGTTGTTCAGAAAAAAAGAAGCTCGAGGTGTTTCTGGTTTGTGGACAACTGGTCTTCTAAAACAGGCTGGAGTGTTTGCATTTTGCAAGGGATAGTGTCAAAAAGCCAAAGAAACCAAGGGAAAACCAAAGAAACACAAAAAATACACCAGCCTCGACCCCAAACAGCAAAAAAGCATGACCGGTCTGTATAGCCCAAAAAAAGGCTTGTAAGGTGAACTTGTGTAGCTTATGTGAGCAACACATACTTACAATCAGTCTATGTATGTCCCTGCAGGAAGTCCCCTTTTTTGGGAAGAGGACACATCGGGTCCATCCATCTCCTTGACGCCGGGTAAAAGCATCGATGTTGTTCATCGACTTCGAGGAGAAACGTCAATGCCATGTTCGAGAGTGAAGGCCCCGGGGGTTCGGGGTCAATCAACCTAACACTGGCATTAGTCAAAGGAAGTTTCGAAGGAACTTTCGTAGTACGGACACTCAATGCGCTTTTCCATCACCGCAGCATTTGGTGGCCGTCTCGCTACTCTGAAACTTGCGCATCAGTCTCAGCAGCCTGCGGCCGAGACTGGACACATGTCACTTCTGGTTGCTATCTTCTTCTCGAGCTCGGCTAAAGGTAGTCTTGCCACAAGCAAAGCAAGAGAGCACTTGCATAAACTTGCAGACTGCGCCTTGTAGCGTTACGGCCGGGACATCCTCGCCGAGCAACGCAGACACACGCCGCGCCAAATTGGCAAGCGTCAGCGAAGGTGCCCGTTTGGCACGCACCTCTGTCACCCGGCGCAGCTCCAGAAAATCCTCAGTGTTTGAGCCGGCAGTAGCTTGGTCATCCAGGGTCTTCATCTTTGTCGTGTCCAGCGCGCCGCATTCTCCCAAGATGGCCAACGCATGGCTTTGCTCCATGCGCCCAACGCCGCTCCGTTCCGGAACAAGCTTGGCTTTGAATGTCAGCTCCAGCCCTGCTCCATCGCGGAAACGTGCTTTGCCCCAACTTACCAATGCTGGCTGCACAGCGGACACCACCAGCTTGGCCGGGTTCATCTTGGAGTTGGCGCTTATGGTTCGCAGATTGGTGTTCACATGTGTGGTGAACGACCGGCGGCCGTCATTCCAGTGCACGTTGCTGGCAACAACTTCTCACTCAACTGCAGCAGCACAGTAATCAACTGGCCGGGTTCATGAACTCTTTCCAAGTTGTCAAGGTCAGCGAAGTAGGTTGCCAGGAAAAGGCTCCTATGCGTCAACCAAGCTTTTCGAGGAGAACTCGACAAGTGCAGGGACGATGCGAACAACTCTTACAAGCTAATGGTTTGGTTGGGGACCCGACTCACCCAGGCTTTGCTTCCAGGACCATTCTTTCTGGAAACCGGTCAGAAAAAACCTTGGAGCTCGGACCCCCCTTACGATGCAACAAGATGATACTCACTGCGGGAGGCTAGCACAGGGGCCATGCAATACAGCTCACGTTGACCCCTTTGGTGTTCCATGGGTCCAGAGACTGCAGGTAAGCTAGGCCGCAGAGAATGGCACCTTACGACGTCCCGCCATGAAAACCCTTGAGCCCTCGCACTCGCAAGCCCTGGGCACTTTCGGACACCTGCAAAACAGCAGCGTCCATATTGCGGAATATGTGGAAACAAGGCTGAGATATCCGTTTTCAACCCTTCTGTCAGGAGGCACGAGATATGTCAAAGCTGCGACCTTGCAATCACGAAGGTGTGAAATGCTTCAGCAAAATGCGTTTGTCAGTGGGACTGGGTTACACAGGTTGCAATGAGGAAGAAGCCTCGCAGGACCAGCTAGCGAAGCGAAAGACTGGGTATGATTTTGGCCGGGCCAAATGGCTATCCAACTGAGAAGATGCTAATCTGGCAACAAGATAGGAGGCAAGGTTTACAACAGAACTGCCAACAAGAAAGGGTGCTCGAACTACAGTGATGCTACCAAGAGGAGACTAGAAGATGGGTGGTGTCATCCGCTGGAGGTCTTTCCTGGATGCAAACCTGCGCTTGACCAAGAAGCGCGGCGCTGGCTTCCAAAAAGCAGCTCAGTATCCTGAGCAAGGCAATCAGCCGGATGTCCCAGAATATTTGTTTGTCGAGAATACAGACACATTTAAGGCTCGACAGGGCTCTGCTGATGCGCCAGAAGGATGCAAACCTGCGCCTCCAAAAAGCAGCTCAGAATCCTGAGCAAAGCAGTCAGGCGGATGCCACGGTATTTGTTTATCGAGAACAACAGTACATATTTAAGGCTCGGTAGGGCTCTGCTGATGCGCCAGAGTGCAAACCTGCACTTGACGAACAAGTGCGGCGCTTCCAAAAAGCAGCTCAGAATCCTGAGCAAAGCAATTGTTTATCGAGAACAAAATGGACACATTTAAGGCTCGACAGGGCTCTGCTGATGCGCCACAGAAGGATGCAAACTTGCACTTGACCAAGAAGTGCGGCACTGGCTTCCAAAAAGCAGCTCAAAATCCTGAGCAAAGCAATCAGGCGGATGTATATTTGGTTACCGAGAACAAAATGGACACATTTAAGGCTCGACAGGGCTCTGCTGATGCGCCACAAGGATGCAAACCTGCACTTGACCAAGAAGTGCAAAAGCAGCTCAGTATCAGCCGGATGTCACGGTATTTGTTCAGCTGATGCGCCACAAGGCTGCAAACCTGCACTTGACCAATCATTTAAGGCTCGACAGAGCTCAGCTGATGCGCCACAAGGATGCAAACTTGCACTTGACCAAGAAGTGCGGCACTGGCTTCCAAAAAGCAGCTCAGTGTCAGCCGTATTTGTCTATTGAAACCAGTCTACATATTTAAGGCTCGACAGGGCTCTGCTGATGCGCCACAAGGATGCAAACCTGCACTTGACCAAGAAGTGCGGCACTGGCTTCTAAAAAGCAGCTCAGCCGGATGTCACGATTTGTTTGTTCAACGACAAACAAATGAAGGCTCGACATTGCTTGTTTCTAGCTCAAACGATGCTCCACAAGGAGGCAAACCTGCGCTTGGCCAAGAGACATCCAGACGCAGGGAGACAAGGGGAAGCGTATAAGCACCTGGCATCCGACCGCAGCGGCTCGGAGGCACAGAAAGACAAGCGGGAGACACGACCCCGGAGCCAGCGTCACAGCATCTGGCATCCGACCGCAGAGACTGGGAGACAAGCGGGAGACACGACCCCGGAGCCAGCGTCACAGCATCTGGCATCCGACCGCAGAGACTGGGAGACAAGCGGGAGACACAACCCTGGAGCCAGCGTCACAGCATCTGGCATCTGACCGCATAGACTGGGAGAAAAGCAGACTGGGAGAAGCAGCCGACCGCAGAGACTGGGAGACACAGGGAGACACGACCCCGGAGCCAGCGTCACAAAAAACGGGAGATGGGAGACACAGGGAGACAAGTGGGAGACATAACCCCGCAGCCAGCGTCACAGCATCTGGCATCCAGACACAGGGAGACAAGCGGGAGACACGACCCGAACCCGCGTCATCTGGCATCTGACCAGGAGACAGGAAGACAAGCGGAAAACAGGACCCCGGAATCGGCGTCACACTTTCCTATTCTCTATACCTCAAGTTAGAACCCCAATGCTTCGCTGTTTGGGGAACAAACAACAAAAAATCCACACCCGTTTGGGGCTGAAACCGATGATTCTCTCCCAAATATGTTTTGGTTGATTGTCTCGAGCTTTTTCTTAGGTTGTCTGGTTTTTCCTCAGCTTTGTTTTCTGGTTTACTTTGACTTAGTCCCAAAAATGTGTTGGTTGGTTGTCTCGTTGTTTTTTGGGGTTGTATGGTTTTCCTCAGTTTTGTTTTCTGGTTTACTTTGACATGATTTTCTTTTAAATAAATGCACATGCGCTTGCATGCATTCGGAAGAGTCAAATCGTGAGAAAGCTGTGCTTATTATACTTTACGAGCAAAGAACACAAGAAAACACTGTAAACGAGCACAGGCCAGGGGTTTTGCACTCACATTCATGATTCTGTATCTTAAACACTATTCTACAACTGATACAAAACCACGATGCTAGGCAGTCTGGCATTAACAATGCGTCGCACTCCCAGATCTCCAAGAAAGAAAATAACACGGGAAAATTGAGAGGACACGATGGCTCTGGGAAAGCACGGTGCCCAACTTTACTGAGAGGTACCATGTTTGTTTGTACACATGCAGGCCATGCATCAAATGCAATGTTTTATAAACTCGCATACTGCATCGGCCCCGGGCGATGAGCAGGCACCCCCGGGTTCTCACAAGCTCATGAAGTCACCGACACATGTCGCAACCGCCATTCATGTATCACCAAACGCCACTCTTGTTTGCAAACTCTTGAGAAAGTAAGAGATGCACACGCGCGCCCAATACATCAATCCTTGCTCATCACCCGTTCAGGTCTGCCCTGTTGCCTCATGCAAACACGCTCGCTGATTGACAGCCTCCGACATCGCTTCCGGGGATGTAGGCCAAGGCGGGCATGATGATGCAGGCCGTGACAATGAGGCCATAGATACCTTCAGTGCCTGCAATGTCAACCCGAAGGCCTCCGTTCCCAAAAGAAGATAGCACGCAAAGAAAAGCCGAACCAGGTCACATGGGGGGAACTTGGGAACTTGCAACCTTGAGCACCCCGAACAACCAATCGTGCACGGATCAGTTTTACGGTGTGCCCATAAACAACTCATGTCCCAATAGAATGAGGCACTGTAAAGGGATGGCTCCAGCTTTTCTATTTGTCATCCTTTTGGAGCCACATCCTTTAAACATTCAGAGGCAAAGTGAAGGAATCCATTCAGGCAGCAACTCGGTCGCGAGAGTTTCCCACGACCTTCCCCCCCCCTTTAGAAGACCAAAGAGAACCTCACCTTTTGGCCCAAAAGGTAATGCATAAAAACACCGAGGCAAGCGTGTTGGGCCCCAGAAGGGGCCGCTGGCTGTTTTTGGCCACCCAGATTTGCAACACAAAATTCCATGCCTGACTTAATTTGGGTAGTCCTCCCCGGCATTTGCGGCTTGAAGCAGGTCGCATTAGCCCCAACGTCTTCCGCAAACTAACTATCGGCCTCCAGCTGCTTCTTCTCTGAGTTGCCCATACTTGGGCGTTCAATCCACTTGGCAAGGAGGTAATGCTACTCCATGGGGCCTAACCTGTGATGTTTCGCTTACAACCAGGGCTTTATAGTTATAACTATAAAATATAACACTTGTAATCGGGCTTGTAACCCAGTCATCAAGGTTGAACACCCCAAGTATGGGGCTGGGTCTTTTCTTGTGGTTTTCAAGGGAAGCAACAGCCAGTGAATCATTTCCCATAGAGCTGGGTGTGTTGGCTTTCAAGGGAAGCAACAGTCTCTGAACCAGTGTTTTGCAGGGATCCTTACCTTCTACACCTGAACATTGCTTCGTAGATGGTGGCTTCCCTTTATTTTGGGTGTTGAAAAAGCAACATGTTTCAAATGGTTGCAACATGTATCTTTTAAGGAGCCCTGTTTTGGGGTCTCCGATAAATCGGGATACTTTGGGATCTGCCTGTGACCTCGAAGGGGTGTAGCCCGGACTCGCCCATGACCTTCTCCTCCAGCACAAACTGGACACTGTTCACGGCTCGCGCGATGACGCACCTTGCACACAGAAGTTCTCAGCTTCCCTCTCATTGGTGGTTTGGATTGGTGGATTGGTGGTTTTGTGATTAAGATTGGTGGATTGGTGGTTGTTCAAATCCCCAAATCACCAATCCGAACCACCAATTCAAGGTTGCCTGAATTCGGCAATCCAAACCCCTCCCCAAAAAACAAAAACACTGGGGAACTGCGAACAAACGTGGGCATGTTTCGGGGACCCTATGGTGAGTATCATTGGGGGTCAATGTGAGCCAGCTTGGAGGGTATCCAACACCTACCTATGTGTAGAGGCTACAGAGGAAGCTGCTTCGGTGACAGGACCCGTTTCAAGTCTTGCTGTCATGACTGAAGGTCGGCCAAAGCTAGCCCAAAGCTGGGAAACCCGCGCAAATCCATAAAACCGCCCTTTCTTAGGAGAAAGGCGCAGGAACATGCCGAAGGCCTGCTCAGATGCAGAAGCCTCCTGAGGATTCTGAGGGGCGTCGCGGCGAAGGGATTCAAAAGCTGGGCCGTGGGATGTAATTTCAGTTCCCCTCAAGTGGATTGACTATGTCAGCCATTTGTGTCCTTTTGGTGAAGCAAATGGGTTTCCCTTTGGAAATTGGCAATAAAACCAATCTAAACCAGTGGAACTCATCTTTTTCTATCCAAACTAACTAGGTCCTCCAGCAGAGGTTAGAATAAGGGTACCCTTTTTGCTAGTCGATCTTAGTAGGGGAACCCTCCCCCAAAAAAGGGTAAAAGGGCACTACTGGAGGACCTAGTTGAAACAAGTTTTGGGGTGACTGGCAGTCGCGCGGACGATCTCAACCGAAGTGGCGAACGTCTGGGTTCCCATTGACACCACAGCTGCTTGAACATATGTTGCAACCTACCCTGATAGATCCCGAAAGGCTGAGAACAACACTTTATAGAAGAACAAAGCTCATTTGAAACAAGGATTCGGTTCTGAGGACACACAACAACCAGCAAAATAGTCCACCTTGATAGTTCGTGTGCAATGAGGTCAGTCAATTTGGGCTGGGCATCATTTACTCTTTTGTTGCACCCAGGGACAAGGCTCAGTCAGCCCGTCCTATCTACAGGGTGTGCAGTGTCCACAAAAAGAATCCCCACAAACTGCGCCCCTGTATCCATTGACCAGAAGTTAAAATTCATCTAAGTACACATCAGTCATATTTGTTCTGTTCCTTAAGCTCTGAGCATTTCTCCTGCATGCCCTCGATCTTGCCGGTCTTGTCGCGCGCCGCCATGTCCGCAGAATAGCCAATCACTACCAGGGATGCCAAAACCGTGAACATCCCCGCATACTGGATGCGATTGTACCGGCGCCCCAGGAAGACATAGCCTCACTTGGAAATAACAGATTCACCGTTTGTCACTAGACTCAAAATGGAGCAACACCGTGGAAAAACAACCGTTACAAGGTCCATTCGTTTGAAGTGAGCAGCTATTGAACGCCACCATGATGATGATGGAGGATCCCAGCATCTGGGCCGTGCTGTTGCTGATGTACACCAAGCCTCACAGGGAGCCGACTTTGGCCATCCTGATCCGCCCCAGAAGTCCGGGGACGACTTGCGACTTGTGACTGATCCGACCCAGAAGTCCCAAGACTGATGTTTTGTGACTCACGGAAACTCATCAGGTCCATTCTGACTCAGGGTCAACGTATTCAGTCAGGGACAATGACCAAGGAAGAAAGAAACGTCTAGAACGACACTAGAAATGGCCGCTTTCCGACAGGGATGCGAGACAGCCACTCGTGTGTTGCAATTCGACGCTTCAGAGAATCCCGAGAAACGCAAAGAGCTCCCGCATAAGACACAAAGCCACCCACCCCCCCTCTCCCCACGCATCTCTTCGCATATGGGATCGGTGAGACTACCACAAAAAATGCCACAGGGGCCTCAACTCCTGGCAAAGTTTCTACCAAGGTATGCACTACTCAGGGAAAGCAACGGCTGAGATTTGATGGATTAGGACTGATCCACCTTCACAACCCTTGATATGGCAACCGGCTTTGTTTGTTGCCCACCAAAAATGAAGAGACCCAAAAGACTAACACCAAGCAACTTGCCATGCCAGGAACAATGAAGTCAACGAAACAATGGGCAAACCGCTGGCGGAAGTGGTATCTCTTCCCTTCATCTTGCCGCGATCTATGACTCAAAGGCTAGCGATCGGTCCACAGCTCGGGGTCTTTCGCTGAACTCTGGGGTTGTTAGGGGCACGAGTTCTAGGCCCTCCCAGTAGGGAGGTTAGAATAAAGGTACCCTTTTCTTGTAGTCTATTTTGGTAGGGCCCAAAAAAGGGCAAAAGGGCACTACTGGGGGACCCAGAGTTTGACAGGGGAAGTGAATGGCTTGGCAGGGTCTGACTGGCTTTTGCATACCAAATGTGCAGCGGCCCAAACCTTTCATGGCTCATAAGGGCCTCACCAAACCGGCTGGCTGAATTGGCCCGACGAGGGTTTGGATGCTCACTCGGCCTATGAAGCTCAAAATGCTCCCCACCAGGTCCCCCATGGCCGGGAGGAAGATCAAGGCTCTGATCTTCCAACCTCTGTCCTTGGCAACTATGGCAAAAAGAACAAAAATACGGGTCTGTCTAAAAATGAAAGAACGCGTTCTGCATGGCATTGAAGGGAAACCGAAAGGGAAACCAACCACCTGCAGAGGTCGCTCCCAAGGATTGAGAAACACTTCTGTTGGAATTGGAAAGTAGTGATTAGCGTCAAAGAAGGCAGCCTTAAACTCCAAATGACCTCCAAGGAATAACATGCAAGCTCAGCCCAGCCATGCAACCCGTGGAAAAGAGATTCAATTCTCATTCCCCACCTAAAGCCCCTCACGATGATAGCAGGTTACTTGCCACGAACAGGCAGCCGTTAGGCAACCGTTAGGCAACCGTTGGACAAGGTGGAAAGCTGGACACCTTGACCAGTGCAACTAAGCCCACCAAAGTGACATCCTCAAAATTGCGAGTTAAAGGGAACCCACTCCCAAAAGTGCAAAACATGAAACCTCTCCATATGCGACCGCTTCAAGGGACCCAGTGCATGAAAGGCATGTTCCGGAACTCCATTGAGAAACCCCCAGACTCCCGACAAATAAAGCCCAAGTTTAAAGCAAGGCCCAGGAGTTCTGGAAAACTTCCTCCCCCACCTACAGCTGATGATGGACATGTCGGAGCGATCGAAATTGGTGAATGGAGCCCTGTTGGATAGTGCTCAAGGAGTACCAGAAGGAAAATTGAAAGCACTTGTCAACATTTTTCAATTGCTCCCTTCTTGAGAATTTACCGTTGAGATCATTTACCACCAATCCAGGCAAAAGCATGGGGGAGGCCACAGCCAGTCACAAGCCCAGGAAAATGAGCGCCAGGCGGGCAAACAAAGGGTTGCACTTTGGACTGCCAGCAGTGGAGTTCTCGACCTTTTGAAGGGTTTCCCTCACCAACCCAACAAATCAAACCCAATGTGAACATCGTGGAAGCAAAACACGCCAAAAACCATCAAGATATAACGAAAAAAAAAGAAAAAAAAAACGTAGAGGAAACTCCGTTTGGGGGACGCCCCGTGTTGCATGTTCATTTGTAGGGGAGTCAATGCAAACTGTCAATGCAGACTTTGTTTTGGTATGTGATGCCAACTGAACCTTCTAGCCAAGGTGTCGCCGACCGGCAGCAGGGGCTCACTATTGGAGTCAGCAACCTGCTTCTTGGAGCAGCCGTTCATCGCCCAGTAGAGTGGGAAAGACATGGTCATGCCGATGAACATCAGCAACTCCAAGAACCTTCGCTGGCATTCCCACAAGGTGTCTGCTTGGTGGATCTGCTTGGTGGATCTGCTTGGTGGATTGTTTGGAGAGAAACGCAAGTACACCATGTGGTGGGGTAGCCCAGGTGGTACGCGCAGAATTACGCATGCGAAGGAACCCTTTCCAGTACCCATGTTGCTGACTCGCTGATGAAACCTTACCCGCCCAGTGACTTCCCGGAGAACAACCACAGAATTGTTGGT